GGGAAAGAGAGACAGAGAGAGAGAGAGTTGGGCTAGGAGCTGCTGACCTACGAAGTACCAAGTGTCCTGCACTCTGAATTAACAAGAAGCAGTAGCAGATGGAGGCAGTTATGAAGGAAGAAAATTCTCTTAAGGATAAGACAAAACTATGCAAGTTTGCCAAGCCACTGTCTGATTTAAAAAAGCAATTTGCAGGGCTGTAATCCCTGATGAACAGTTTCTGTGTTTCTGCTTTCCATGTCTGCACTCTCTGGTTGTAATTTGGACTTCCTGTGCAAACGGTCTTGTTCAAGACATCAGTTCTCAGTGGTAACTTCCTGCTTTCCGCGGCTCCAAAGACAGTTCTTCCTACCTTGGCTTTCTCTCTTGCTATCAGTTGTCCTAGTCCAGTCCCCGTGAGATCATTTTTGCCTCAGGATTCTCCCTTCTTGAACTCAGCCCCAGAACATTCTACTGTGATCTTAACGCAGGTTGGATTTGACCACCTTGTTTGTCTTGCTCTCTGGGCACAGTCTTACAATCTGTAGCTCTGTGTCCCAGCATCTCGTACTTGGCTGTTCCTGACAAAATCTTGCCAATTAAAAGAATTCTTTACTCTCTATGCAAATTTGGTTCCTTAATCGTGTTTACTTTTTCAACTTCATCTTATTAAGAGATCATAGCCTGTGTGAAGGACTCTCCCAACCCTAGGATAGAGTCCACCAAAATAAGAAAATTGGTAGTTTGAAATCATTATTTTACTGCCTTTAGAATAGTTGAGAAATACATTACCCAATTCTAAAATTTTATTCCAAGAAGGATCTGGAACGAATTAGATTTAATGGATTGGTCGGAGCGCTGCAGACAGTTGAGGGTTTCAAAATATTTCAGATGGTAGGATGTGGGGAAATGGCCGCCTGCAAACCCTCTGTCCCTGCCCTAGACCATGGAGTCTGGAAGTAGAAACTTCACAGCCACCTGCTTCTGCCCCAAGGCTTGTAGAAGACAGAGAAATGAAGTGGAACTGTCATGGGAGGAACAGAAAACCAGAGACCACAGCCTTTTCATTGGAGTTGGGAGTGAAAGCCGGGGTGACAGTGACACTCCCAAGTGCCACCCCTCATGCTTGCTTGAGCTGCACTCCGCAAGGGGCTGTGCACCTCACTCAAGCTTTTCCTGAAGCCCATCACCTCCACGGGCTTCTTTCTACCCCCATGCTCAGACGTTTGAACAGTGTCAGAAAGCAGGCTGAGTGGGTTCCTGCGCAGGCTAACATGAGGCAAGCACTTACCGATAAAAACCTCACGCCGTTCTGAATGTGTCCTCCCTGCCCACGACCCTAATTTAGTTGTCAGTGTACTCTGTACTTGGGTAACAAATGAGTGGGATGTGGGTGAGATGTTGTGCCCACTTTCTCCTAAGACAGCCACAGGTCTTAGGAGAACACAGACATGGTGGTGGCTTTCCAACGTGGTCAGTGTCTCCTCTTCAAACCTTGTGGACACTCGGGTAACTGACGGGACAACCGAACAGTACACTTCCTGTTAGAACTGGACCCGGTCAGGCCTACTTGCACTTGGAGGCTGACGTGAGGAGAGCGCATTTGGAAGGCGTACTTAATTTATAGGTGGCTTGTGTTTCAGGAGGTTTTCAGCCAGATGTTTGGCACTCAGAATACCTTCCTCTTTAGAAATGATGTTTTAAGTGGTGATTCAGTTCTCGGGCCAGCCCACAAGAAAATCTACTTTATCCACAGTATGGCTTTGATGCATACAACTAAGTATTTGCAATAAAAAATAAAAGCCAGGGCAGTTGCTACATGAGTAATTTTTAAAAATAGGAAAAAAATGGTTGTGTTAAGTACATTACATTAAATGCTGATAGACCTGATTAGAGTGAAGCCTTGTGGAGATTCTGCGGAGGATATCTGGGGCATTTCAAAGGTTTTCGAGTTGGGGGCACTGGTTCCTTAAAGTGGGTGGCCTAGAAAGTGTTTCAGAGGAAATCCGATGGTTTCCAATTCATAAGCCAATCTCCTGAGAACTTGTGAGAGTTGGAAAGAGTCAGTGAAGGAGAGAGCTATTTTCTGTGGTAAGTGGATAAAAGTGAAAATATACATGGGAGAAGTGGACTAAAAAACTGTATGTGAACACAAGAGGAAGGGATTTTTTGTGAAAGGAAATCAACTGAATGGCTGAAGAGGAAAACATGGTGGGGAACTCTGGAAATCCTCTGGAAGAAATTTCAGAAAGTTGAGGTGGTGGTTCCTCCTCTGATAGGTCCATGGTTGGGACATTTTGGTGGCTGATCCAGTGGAGACTGGAGCATCCTCAGAAAAGACTGGTAGATGCAGAGGTTTTAGAGACACTCACCACCTATCCCTCTACTCATAAAGAAATTGTAGAACCATATAGTAAGGAACTGTACCTTCATCCACCCATAGGTAAGATTTAATACTGTGGTTTGATTCTGCCTATGCGAATATATTTCTGTGGTGTGATCCTGCCTATACGAATATATTTCTGTGGTTTGACCCTGCCTATGCGAATATATTTCCGTGGTTTGACCCTACCTCTGCGAATATATTTCTGTGGTTTGACCCTGCCTATGTGAATATATTTCTGTGGTTTGATCCTGCCTGTGCGAATATATCTCTGTGGTTTGATTCTGCCTATGCCAATATATTTCTGTCTCCTTTTTTCTTATACCATATCCACCCCCTCTCTGCTCCCCAGTTAAAGAACTGTTTCTAAAAAAATTAGATAGTTTAAAATAAAACTATTTATACTCCAATTAAAAAATAAACCCTGGCAATTAGCTTTGATGCAAGAATCTGAAATCGATATGAGATTTAAAAGTTTACCCTGCCTATTCTTTTGACAACAACAAGATATAATAAATAATTTGCTAATTTACAATTCATATTTAAGATAAAGAATAGACTGTTTAGCTTTGCATTATCCAGGAAGAAAGAAATTGCTAAGTAAATTAATAGTGACTTCACCAAGAAACTGTTTAATAGCTTAAGAGAAAAGTAATTTCCAAGTACTCTCAACTGTTTATAGCTACTCATATAAAAACTGATTATCAAGTTTTAAAATCTATTTATTGATAAAAGCTCATTTAGACTCTTTGGGTCATACTTGTTAAATACAGGTAAAAGTACTTTGAGAACCTGAAAGTAGTAACCTTTCAAGTTTTCCATGAATTCAGAATTTCAAAAATTCACAACTTGTTATACTTAGTTATTTTATCATGCTCTTACTTTCTATTGTAATCAAATCTTATATTTAGTTTCTACAGATGGAGTTTTATAAAATAAGCATAACTGAGTTGCATTTTAAAAAGTACTAGCCTCAGAAAGATTTTTAATCAAAGTCTATACTTTAAGAAATAACTGGCTAGCAGGGAATGCAGGTAAATGGGGACATACTCCCACCCAGTTTGCACGAATCTGCCAATGTTTAAGGCTAGTTATCTATTGGTACCATTCCAGCCAGTGTAAACGTTTGTTAAATTGCAACAAAGAAAAAAATAACTCACCACCAACACACTGCACCAAGTTACATAATATATACAAACATATAGAAATAGTGTCAGATACACACTAAGCATTAAACTCAAAGAAACCTTCTGCATAATCATGTGCTCCAAGAATCTCAGGACTGAAATAGGGTCTCAGGTAACTGCAGAACAAGAGATGTGAACGTTTTCATTACTTAGATGTTATCCATTAACATTTAAAGATACTATTTTCTAATAAGCTACTGTCCTTGAAGATGTTAAAATGATCTCCGTGAAGAACAAAGAGAGAGGAAATGGGGTGGGGCGGGGGAAGGATGCCAAGGAGGAAGTATTTTAAATAATTGTGTGGAATACAAGTGGCCTTATTTATTAGTTCCCCATGAAGAATGAGGCTTGTTGCCCCACAAATCCGTGAATACTGGACCTCCTTTCAATCTTCCTCTCTTTGAATAAAAGGCATGTTGGGTTGAAGAAGAAATCCTTTCATAATGTCAGTGCCCCAGTGCCACTGGTTGAGAATAGAGGTGGACCTGCGTTGCGGATGATTGAATTAGTATTTCCCAAAGCCCCGACCTCTGCTCCATTGATAATGGAGACACCCTGTCCCTGCCAATGCTAGAGAGTGTTAATGAAGTTCTCTTTTGAGGACATCTCATTAACAAGGGATTTTTTTTTTTTTTCCATTCAAATGTGACATTTTCAAGGGCTTACACTCATTAATTTCTTTCCTTCCCAGAAGGAACCCAAAGCCAGATTTGGGTTTTAATCTGGACAGAATCAGCTCTGTGGATGCTTGAGGTCCTGGGTAGTGCAAGTGTGACTCACAAACCAGCAGATGGTGATCGGGTTGAGGGTCTGCAGAGAGGCAGAATCTCAGACCCCCTCCAGACCCTGTGTCTTACAGAGACCTCCAGGTGATTCGGATGCGCTTAGAGTTTGAGAAGCCCTGACCTAGGCGCCTCTATAAGCTGGGGGTTCTCAGGGCATTAAGATGGCCTTTGGCAAATTATCGCATTTCACTACTTGCTATTGGCAACATCTGGAAAAGCCCATTTTGGCAAAGATCCTTATGTATTTTGGCAATATACCAAAAAAGACTTTATAAATAGCATTTTGTACAAATTCTCCAAAACATGACATGGGGTCTATTTCTGATTTGGGTTTAGTCATGCTGCTAGTCAAACCATATGTAAGAGGTAGTATTGAAAGAGGCTAAATGAATGACAGATTACCATGAGCAATAAAAGCAGGAGAAACTGAAGTTTTCTAGGAGTGATATTTTAAGTTAGATCTGGTATTTTACCTATAAAAAGTAAAAGCAAAGATCTGATCAGTTATCACTGAAGTAACATAATTACTTGGCTTTTTATTTTTAGTAAGCCACTGTTTGTATTTTCTCCTTACCATGAAAAATAGAGCCAAGCTGCTGGTTAGACAAGGGTCCTTACCTTTATATCCTGTGGGTTGATATCAGGATTTGTTTGACATCGCAGAGGTCCCAGAGTTTGAATATGAAAAATGTAGAGGAGAAATTCATCCCGGGCAGAGAAGGGCCAGCCCACCTCCAGAAGGGTATCACTGATGGTGCTTGGTCCAATATTGTGCAGCTACAAGCAAGGAACACATCATGGAATTGTTAGCACAAGGCAGCAAGATGAAATCAAACACCATAGACTCTGGACCTCTTCTAAAGAAGCATTTATTTTGGTTTTAAGTCAAAGCCAAAATATAGACTTTGACCATGAAAATAGGAAGACAGAGTCTCTATAAACAAGAGGAGTTCTGAAAGCAAAAGATGAGCTGATGCTGAGAGAAGACGATTCAATCTGTGAAGCTCTAAGGGTAGAGTTCCTTTGCAAAGACCAGATTCACCATGTCTGATAATTGTGCAGTTTACCTTACATTTATATTAATCTAATCACAGTGCTAGGAATGCCATTTTAATTATATGCTTTCTAAACTTGGTTATTCTTTCTTTACATTGAAATCTGCCCCTTTCCTGACTACTGATTTGTCAATTGCAACCATATGCGATGCACTTTCTCTCACCCTCTGGAAAAATGGCTATCCATCAAATACCAGAGATGCTCCGGGCTCACCACAGTTCACTTCAAGTATGCATTTCAAAGCTGAGCTCCTTCTGTTTTAATCAACGAATCTCAAGGAAAGAAAGGCCACAGTGTATAAGGAGATGAACATTTCGAACACAAGAATCCTATACTTGCAGGACACAAAACATTAAGTGGATTTAAATTTACTGTGGTTTTCAAAAATTCACTTCAAAGTTAGCTGGGACCTTTTGTCTTTTTTTTTCACAGTTCTGACAACTGTAATGATCCATAAAACAATTTATAATTGGTTTTGCTTATTAGGTGGCTTGTTTAATTCATATTATCAAAGCAACATGGCATCCTGTGATAAAAGTATATTTTGAGACAAGAGATTAGCCTGTAAGAAATGTTCAGTGATTACTTTTGGCACTACTGGTTATTACCCTAAAATTTTATGATCCATTTTTCTCAGATTAGAAACAGGGCTGCCCTGAGAATGATTGAGTTTGAATGTTTTCAGACTTTAAAATTTCACCATTCTGAAGGAGAAACTAGTGCACACAAGGTTTAATAAATTATTTGACAATAATTTTTCTTCCAGCTAGGTTCTTAATCTGAATGGCCTTGGGGACTGTGTTATCCTTTTGTTATCAAGAGAGCTTAAGCCAAAGCTTTGATCCAGCTGTGGACAGGGCTTCTGATTCTGGACCACAGGTTGGGCAGATGGCAGGCTTTCATGTTGACACTGCACAGGAGCTGATGCTTCTTCCCCATATATGTAAACAGCTCATCAGTTTTGAAATGGCTTTATTGTTATCCTTAGAGAATGCTATTCATGTCCCTTGTAGCTTGAGATGAAAGTCACAGAATTATTGGGTCAGCGGCATGCATGACACAAGAAAGGGATAGGGAGCATTGACCAAGAAGGAACCTCAAACAGAAAATGGCTTGTAACATCATTTTCACCAGATTTCCATTCCTGGCTCCTTGAAGATGAACAGGAAAAACTGTTCTCCACTGATAGCATTTACTTTATTTAAAGAAAAAAAAAAAAAAAAAAAAAGAACAACTATTAAACTAACCCTTTACTATATCTTGGTTTCTAGCTATAAAAAAATTTAAATGTTTCATATAATGTGTTCACAAAGCTCTTCCCTATAAACAGTTTAACACTTGAAGTGGGATCAGATCATCAGGGCTTTATCAGGAGCTCCTGGTTTGCTTCTGAAAAATCAATGGACTATTTTAAATCTCAGAATAAGATACATGTCTGATTGGGGTTAGTCGAATGAACAGTAAAATTATTCTCACCTAGCTATACCATCCACCCACATTATATATGCATTTGGGGGGGTACAATTGTGAATAATCCATACAGTTTTCTCTGCCTGGTAACTTCTGGTTGGTGACCCTTTAGTTTAAGAGGTGGGTGGGTTTTAAAAATAGCTGAAAATGTAGGGAGAAGTGAAAGTCTAGGGAGCTAGTCATTTTTAGAAGTAGGCTGTCCAAACATTAAAAGAGAGGAAATAAAGAGCATTTAAAAATGAACAGGAGCAAGATAAAATGTTTCTCACTGTATAATGGCTCTCGCCACTAAAAAGCAAGTGACGGTAGAGTGGTTACTTAACAGGACACTCCCAGCACCCACTGCAATATGAGAGCAAATGAGGACAAATCTAGGCAGGATATAAACAGCTCCGACCTCAGATTGGTGTCTTTTATTATTACTAAAGAGCATAAGAACAAACCCTGAACACAATTTCAACAGAGACAACGGCTACCTCATAAATATGTTCCACCAATGGTCCAACTCCCTCCTCCTTGCGGGGCTTCTCTTCCGGTTCCCAGTTATGAATGGGCAGAACGATCTGCGGAGGGTGGGATACCCTGAAACATGGAATGTGACGTCAATGGCTGGTGTTGGCACATGTAAAGAACGCTTCACTTGTGTGGAGTACATTAACAGCGGCGGCAAAGAGTGACTGTCAATTTATTTGAATAGATATTTCCCGCAAGGAAAAAAGTAGTGAAAGTTTTGTTCAGCAAAATCACTAATAGGTAAGGGTCTGAAACATCTCTTAATTAACTGGTCTCCAGCTCAGATATTGACTATTTTATAGCATCTCCTCTCTTGGGCACTAGGGGGGCAGAGCAGAGGGCATGCCTGAGCGGAGATGGGTAGTTTCACATATACATACGTAAATACATACATCTATTTTGGTATAGAGAAGAAAAAAAATACAGAATAGAAGCTGAGCCCATTTTCTCTGAAAATGTTTATTCCTATGGTCATCAATCCTGTAGCACTGGTCATAAATTTCCGAGGACCAGAGAGTCATAAATTTAGACCTTGGCAGGTAGTGTGGAGACAATGTGCTCAAACTTCCTCATTTTATACATGAAAATAAAACTGATGACCAAAAATGTAGGGGGTTGGTTGCACGTGAAGACGAGGGCTCAGGTTTACTAAGCACTATTCGCTCTGTTTCCAATTTACAGTGCTCTCTGGGGGCCATTAGGTTGCAGTGGTTTTAGTAAACACAACTTAAAGAAACTTCCTGGCCCATTTGTGTAGCAAAATCAAATAGAAATCTATGAAGAAATACACAGTCTATCACAGGGCATGGGAAAAATTCAAAAAGTATGGCTCATAAAAATCAGTTACATATCCTCTAAGACCTTTTCAAATCTGGGGAAACCACAGACAAAGAATGGCTCCCTAAAGATTCCCAACCATATAAGTGAAACATTGTTTATTGTCTTCAAAGTTATTAAGAAAGAAGATAGCAAGTGAGGAAGAAAAAAAGAGAATGTGAACAACTAATTAGCCTAAGAGGTACAGCCAGTGTAGTAACCTAACAACCAGTACTGAATGGTCTTCACATTCTTAGACAGAGCGTTATTCCACGGAGACCCTCGAGTCATAAGGCTGGGGTACTCAGTGGTAACACTGGACATGAGGAGGGGATTTAAGGGGAAGCAAGGAATTCGGTTTTTTACAAGTTAAAGTCTATATGTTATCAGGGAGTTCAAATCTAATGATTTGGTCGTGTGCTGTGAGCCCTGTTTTCATAATCTCATTTCCAATCCCTGTTAGTCCCAAATAGCAAAGATTATCATTTATTGTATGGAACAATAATGTGTAGGTTGGCTATACCTGCTATAGACAGTATCTATGTAAATCATGGTTACCCACGATTGCAGTCTCTCTTAACACAAACCCACTCAGTCCTGATTATTTTGCCAAGGATACAATTTTATTTTTATTTTGCTAAGAACCTTTTTTATTGAAGTATAGTTGATTTACAATGTTGTGTTAGTTTCTGGTGCACAGCAAAGTGACTCAGTTACACAT